ATGCTTCAAATTTTCTTTTGTGACCCGTTTGGCAAAATGCAAAATGTTATTGTGTAGTCATACCCACAGAAGTTTACTAAAACAAATATCTTGCCACATCTTATACACAACAAATACGTGTATAGCAGAACTTGAATTGCTTACGTCCCAGGCCTTCTTGCTATGCGATTCGTTTATGTTAGCCCCGCGGACTAATGAGCCTGGGGACTAGGCAATCGCATAACCTCGCGGGGCTCTGGGGAAGGCAACCTGTAGGATGTGTTAACCATTAAAGAGATGCTTTTACCAGTATCAGAGAGGCAATTTTATTATTTTAATATGTTGAATGCTCAGAAAGTGCTGGCTTTAAACGTCGATGCGCTTTTAATATCTTTCATTTGCATGCTAATGTTACTTATTCTGAGTTTACACCAAGAAAGAAGTGATAAAAATTTAGTAGGGATGAAATTAAGAGATTCAGTTTTTTGGAAATGAAATCTTATTATTGGAATCATTAATGCTGATGGCGTCAAATATGGCCTTTCTCATGAACAAAATGCGGGGGAATCTCATTAACATAAGGACATGTACTACTTTTAAGTGGTTTAACTGGTTTGACAGGCTTTGTATCGAGTAACAAGTTATTCAAGTTCAAGAAGGAGGAGGAGGAGGAGGAGGAGGAGGAGAAGAAGAAGAAGAAGAAGAAGAAGAAGATAAGAAGAAGAAGAAGAAGAAGAAGAAGAAGAAGAAGAAGAAGAAGAAGAAGATAAGAAGAAGAAGAAGAAGAAGAAGAAGAAGAAGAAGAAGAAGAAGAAGAAGAGAAGAAGAAGAAGAAGAAGAAGAAGAAGAAGAAGAAGAAGAAGAAGATAAGAAGAAGAAGAAGAAGAAGAAGAAGATAAGAAGAAGAAGAAGAAGATAAGAAGAAGAAGAAGAAGAAGAAGAAGAAGAAGAAGAAGAAGAAGAAGAAGAAGATAAGAAGAAGAAGAATGGAGCCCTTAAACTCTATTTCTTTGTTAGCTCTTTATTCTTGACGGAAACAACTTCATGCCACTAAATAATAAAGATAACATGATCTTTGGATTTCTAGAACAGGAGTATTTATAATATACTCGCCCCTAAAAAACAGGTGACATGCCTTCATAAAATATGCTTGCAGTACAATATATTTACAGTTAATATCAACCAGGATTCAAGTAGGAATTAAGAGCTGGCAAGAGAGAGCTGGAAAGCCCAGAAAACTAACTCGATCAACAGCGGAGTTGCCTTAATGTTTCTTTTACAGCTTGCCTTACTTCTCTGATCTTCCAGCAGTACAGCAATGGGTTTAATGACGAGTTTAAGTAAATCGCGGTCGCAGTAAAAATCGTAGCAAGGTAATAAGTAGAGAACATCTCTCCTCGAGGTGATAACGCTATCGCTATATTATATGGGAGATAACAAATAACCAATATTAACTGCACCCACAGTGCACTGTTCACCGCTTTTCTGTATCGAGCTATGTTCAGTGGAATGACTTGGCTCGGTTGTCCTTGAGCAACATGGTTCTGAACATGAATTTGGTTATGACGCAGAGAGAGAAAAATTTTTGTGTAAGCGGAGATTGTGATGACTAGACACAGAGCTGTAACGATGTGTTGATACCATGAAATTATAAGAGTATTCCAAAAGGTTGTAGAAGCTCCGACAATGCACATAATCCAAAGACCAATTACCGCTATACGTGTTCGTTTCAAAGTTACAACCTGTCTGTATCTGAATCCCAGCAACAAGGCGAGAAGTCTGTCCACGCTTATTGCAGTCAGTGTCAATAAAGACACATCACACAAAGTATGACCTGAGAAATATATTGCCAGAACCGTGTAATAGCAACTATCCCATCTTCGGTTCACAACAGAAGTCAAGTAAGTTACAACCAAAGGTTGTGCAATTATACCAACACAGAGATCAGTTATCGCTAGGTTACGATACAGGAGTTTGGACGGCGGATGAAGTACAGTTTCCTTGTGTAGAGCAACTAGGATCAGAGTGTTCCCCAGAAATGCAGTAATGGCCAGGAAAATGTTTAGAGCTGAAAGGAAGATAAGTTCGCCATCTACACCGCTGATTAATTCAGGCGAGTAGAACATTTCAACAATTGTTTTTTGATATTTTTCATCTTCGGTTAAATTCGTCAGTGCCATAATGTTCCTCTGAGACACAATGACCTACAAGTGAGTGTTTTATATGAATGCTACGTTTTAATTTGGGTTAAAGTAGATACTGTATCAATTTGTCATCTGTCAAGTCAACTATTTGCCTAAACGCACAAGCCACATTGTAATTCCCTTTGCACATTTGTCGCGTCAGTTTAACAATTATTTATCAGGAGCAATTTACAAAAAGCATAAACGTGCAAAAATAAATGTAAAGGAGAGCTCGCAG